AAAAAAAAAGTGTCTCACACGGCTCCGGGAAGTGAACAAAGGCCTTCTGTAGCGAATCGATGCATTTTTGTAAGAAAAATATCCATATTCAAAACGTAATCATCACTTTAATGTAGCTTGCGCTCACTGTTGTACACGGAAGCAGCTCCGGGGGAATGACCTCTGAGGTCAGCGCAGCGTATGCGCCAGTGAGTCTTATGAAAACCAACGTTTGTTAACAGGAGCAAAGGAAGCAAAGTTTCCTTACTTTAGCAAAGGAAAACCAGTCTCCTCTTGGCTTATATCGGAATCCTCCGACATTCTTCTTTACAAATCCTCGTTTTGTATTTCTAATTAGTGACCGTTGTTTTGTTTTGATCTCTCCCCTGCGCTTCCGCGTCCGTCACTTCTGAGTGGCGCATGTGCAACGTTTTCCAAAATGTAATTTATGTGAAAATATGAAGTCTGTAAACGCCCGTTAACACAGGACAGAGACGTCGAAGACGGATGCACAGAGAAAAATACTGTAGCAGGCAGATCACTCACTGTTCATGATGCACGAACTATTGGAAGAAAATCCTCAATATTTATTTGGGGGTTTATATGCATGTGCTTCTGAGGGGAACTGAAAAGTCTTCAGAAAAGTTTACGTGGTATTTTCTTTTAATCTCGTCTCTGTATAGTTCATATTAAAGCAGTATTACAGCGGTAACCAAGGAAGTTTACAGCGGTAACCAAGGAAACGCAGTATCTGGTTTTTCCAGAAGCGCCTCCTGCTGTCAGAGAGTGAATCTGCATCTCATTCAGCAGCGGTGTTTACTGCGACACTGTATCTGGTGTTTGAGAAGTGCCTCCTGCTGTCAGAGAGTGAATCTGCATCTCATTCAGAGCTTCTGCTGTTTGTTTCGTTCAGGCATGTAGTATCATTTCACAAAGCTAGTCAGAACAGAACATTCAGTTTTTGCCTCAAATTGAATTATTATTAAATCAAATTATGTATATGAAATTATATAACAAAATGATATGAAATGATATGTATATGAATTATATAACTAAATTTGAATAACTGTAATTACAGATTTAGGTTAAATAAAGATGTCAGTCTTTATTTTTCTTTTTAATAAACAAAAAAAATAAAATTTCATAAAAAAAATAAACAAATTCTACTGTTCCTAATATTCTGTATGTTGCTCAAAAACAAAATATATTGTGTTCAGTGGAATTTTTTTATTTTTTTTTACCCAGTCATTTAAAAATAACACATTTTAGAGCTGTAACGACAATACTGTGATACCGTGATATTTTTGCTTAAGGTTATCATACCGTCAAAATCTCATACCGGCCCATATATCAAACTGATATCAAAGTATCTTGTAATCACAATCTGATTCTATTACTGTACCATGGTAGCACCACAGTACTTTTTAAAAAGTGTTGTTAAAGAGAAATACTCATGAAAACCTTTAAAACCATCATGTCAAGCAACAAAAGAAACACAGAGCTTGGCAAAGGTACAAAATCTCCAGGAAACAAGTTTCTCAGTGCAGATTATGAACAATTTGAGTGGTTATGAAACTGCAGAGAGGTCTAGAGAGGCAGTCACTGTCAGTTATGCTTAGGGGAAATCTGAAAAAAAAAAAAACTGTTCTCCAACTGAGCTCCTTTTAAAGCCGAGTGACGTCAACGACCCCATTCATAATTAATATTCCCCTATTCAGTGTGGGTAGAAGCATCCTCGAGTTAAGGGGACCTTAAAATAATTCCAAGCCTTCCCACTATAATCCTTCACAGTCAGCGTTCCTCTTTAAATTCAGTGCAGAATTTCTCACTTCCTCTAAAACTCTTACCGGTTGACATTTTTAACACCTGAGAGTGGCTCTAAGTTATACCGAATGCAAAGCATATGAAAAAACTGATAAAATCACAAACAAAATCACAAACAAACAAAATGGGAAAAATTTGTCTGTTTGCCAACATACTGCAAATCTTCACTTGAATGCTTGGGGAAAATTGAACATCAATTTCCTGCTGAAAAGGGGGAATGTTGGTGCTGGTTTGTTGCTAGTCTACCTTGCAGATCAGCTTCCTTAAATTTGGTTGAAGCCAGTCAACAAGCATAATCGGGTAAACCTGACTGACCAAGGAAGTCGTGCTGGTTAAGATACAGTAGTTAAGATGCCTAATGGGGACACTAGCATCCAAAACATTGAAATTTGTTGCATTCCATGAATGCTAATAGCTCTAGATGAGAATATGTGAGTGGTAAGGTATGGAATTGGGGCGAGGTGCAGAGTATGCCCACAGTAGTGGGTGATTTCTTTTCATTCCAGGTTGGGTTTTGTGGCTACGAACAAATCACAGCCTTGCTGATATTAAGTACAATAAATGAACATCTAGATCATCTGCAACTAGTCTAAGCCTCATACATTACATCCACAGACTGTTGGCTGAACATCTGATGCATAAGGAACACAAAATGGGAAAACACTTCAGGAGTTCTACAGGATTTCCAGGAGTTCTTTAATGGTACTTTAAATCTTTACAGTGTTCGTTCAGCCAAAAATGAGAATTCTGTTATTAATTACTCACCCTCATATCGTTCCAAACCCCTAAGACCTTTGTTCATCTTTGGAACACAAATTAAGATATTTTTGATGAAATCCGAGAGCTTCCTGACAACTGATAAAATCACAAACAAAATCACAAACAAACAAAATGGGAAAAATTTGTCTGTTTGCCAACATACTGCAAATCTTCACTTGAATGCTTGGGGAAAATTGAACATCAATTTCCTGCTGAAAAGGGGGAATGTTGGTGCTGGTTTGTTGCTAGTCTACCTTGCAGATCAGCTTCCTTAAATTTGGTTGAAGCCAGTCAACAAGCATAATCGGGTAAACCTGACTGACCAAGGAAGTCGTGCTGGTTAAGATACAGTAGTTAAGATGCCTAATGGGGACACTAGCATCCAAAACATTGAAATTTGTTGCATTCCATGAATGCTAATAGCTCTAGATGAGAATATGTGAGTGGTAAGGTATGGAATTGGGGCGAGGTGCAGAGTATGCCCACAGTAGTGGGTGATTTCTTTTCATTCCAGGTTGGGTTTTGTGGCTACGAACAAATCACAGCCTTGCTGATATTAAGTACAATAAATGAACATCTAGATCATCTGCAACTAGTCTAAGCCTCATACATTACATCCACAGACTGTTGGCTGAACATCTGATGCATAAGGAACACAAAATGGGAAAACACTTCAGGAGTTCTACAGGATTTCCAGGAGTTCTTTAATGGTACTTTAAATCTTTACAGTGTTCGTTCAGCCAAAAATGAGAATTCTGTTATTAATTACTCACCCTCATATCGTTCCAAACCCCTAAGACCTTTGTTCATCTTTGGAACACAAATTAAGATATTTTTGATGAAATCCGAGAGCTTCCTGACCCTGCATAGACAGCAAGGGAACTACCACATTCAAGGCCCAGAAAGTAAGGACGTCGTTAAAATAATCCATGTGACACCAGTGGTTGCAATTTCAAGAAGCTACGAGAATACTTTTTGTGTGCAAAGAAAACAAAAATAACAAACAAGGCGCAGCACATCCAAGTTCTATGTCAGAACGCCAGCTCCTGCGTCAGCAGCACCAAACGTGTGCATGGTACTGTCGTGAACGTGAGTCGACTGACAAGGAAGAGAAGAAATTGAAAAGAGAAGAAATAAAGTCATTATTTTTGTTTTCTTTGCACACAAAAAGTATTCTCATAGCTTCATAAAATTACGGTTGAATCACTGATGTCACATGGATTATTTTATCGATGTCCTTACTAACTTTCTGGGCCTTGAATGTGGTAGTTCCCCTTGCTGTCTATGGAGGGTCAGGAAGCTCTCGGATTTCATCAAAAATATCTTATATCTAATCGTTCGAGTTTCTGCTGAAGTTTGGATGCTTGAAGAAATGGCTGGATTAATGAAAGAGTGTTAAATTGACTGTGTATTTTTACTGTGGGCATTCAGAATGCCCAATGTTCAAGACATGGTTACGGCCTTCTAGCCCAATGATGTTGGGGGATCCAGTGGGGGTGGTAATATTTCAGGGTGACCGTGCCACTCTTTATCACAACCCTGCTAAAGTGTAGCGCCAGTACGTGCACTCATTGGTGCCCCATCAGGGCTCGCAAAATCGCTAATGTATCACCACACATCATCTTAAATACAGATCTCCCGCGGGTACTTAAAAACTCATAAAGTGAGTTGTATCAAACTTAAGGCCATAAAAAGTTACAGGAGGCCCTATTGATAGTTCCTATCGAACTGTTTCCATTATTGTGAAACCCGCGAGACACAACAAAAACACAGCTCCGTGTTGGGTGTGTCAGACAAGGGAGACATACAAAATGAGCAGTGTTGGGGGGCGCGCCCAGGACCAGGGTTGAGAAACACTGCTTTAAATGGTACTGGGAAATAGTTCGCGCAAAATCGTCCCAGTACTTTAGTACTGTACATTTAGTTCTAGAACTAAAGCGGTGTGAAAGGCCCTTTAGACCCTACTCTGAAGTAGGAGCTAAATTAGTTCCCCCAAATTGAGTTCCTAGAACTAAATACGGTCCTAGTTCCTGTGGTGTGAACACACCAAAAAGCGGGAACTACTGCCAATAGTTCTAGGAACTATTAAAAAAATGTTCCTCCGGTACAAAAGCACATACAGAGCGCCAGTCTGCTGCTATAGTGGACAAGCACCGTAAGGCTGATAGGAAAATGACATTTATCATGAAAGCCTCAAAATGATCAATGCTGCACCTCCACTCAAAGTTCCCACTCACGATTCATCGTTGTCTCCACCCGCTTCTGCCAGGGTATCCTCTCTCATGCTCCCACGCACCATTTCCTGCCATGTGGCTGGCATGCACGTGTGCTGCCTCTTTATCTCTTCCCCTCTTCCTCTCGCGCTCCATTAATCTCTCTGTGTAGCCAAGTGCGGGCAGAGCGAGCTATATCCTGACACTAAAAATAATCACTTCAGGGTGAATGTTGAGTGAAGGGGGTTTTGGGGTGGGGGGGCTAAAAGCTTGGCATGAAGGGATGATATTAAAACAAGCTGCAAAGAGAGCTAGGATTTGCCATGCAGGTGTTTAAAGTAATCTATCAGCGATGAACTGCGGTCTGCAACTAATTATACACATGCTGGAATTTGACGGAATAAGGCAGATTTTCTCTGAGGAGAGAGCCATAAATGAAAAAGAAATTCTGAATGACATTATATCAAATACCAATTGCTCTCAAGAAGTGCTATTGAGGTATCATTTATATATTTGTAGTGTTTATTAATAGTCAGTTTTTTTTTTTTTAAATGCAATTTTAATTTTAATTTTAGTCAGTTTTATATATTATAATAAAATGACTAAATCTTAAGATTAAATAAAAATAACATGTATATGTGTGTATATATATATATATATATATATGTGTATGTATGTATATATACATATATATGTGTGTGTGTGCGTGTGTGTGTATTTTTTTTTTTTGTTCTAGTTATTTAATACTTTAAATAAAAACATTTTTTCTAATTATAATTGACAAGGCAACTTTTTAAATTTTCATTTGTGTTCCACGGAGTTTTGAAAGATGCATTTTATTTCTTATTTTATTTTGTACATATTTAGTTTTAGTAATTTCGTTACTTTTAATACTTATTTTGTTTTAGGTATTTGTTCATTTAAGCATTTTAGGGTTTTCATCTAAATTTTATCACAGCTTTATATAAATTGACAAAAAGGATTTTTAATAGTTTTAGTTAACAATAAAAATGCTCCTGTAATGCAATAAAATGTCTTGTTTTAATGAATAATATCAAATAAATAACAACTCAACAGAGCGTCCTTGAGGAACTACAGTGTTTGGCCTATTTAGACCACTAGATTTAATGTTATTGGTCTTATGAATGTCTATGAATGAATGAATAAGGTCTGTAATTCTGCAGTTGCATATGATTTTCTTTTTATACCTCTGTGTAAATCTACAACATTTGCAATTGACTATCAGTGCTAAATTATACATGGTAACTGTTGTTAGCATTAACTACAATACAGTCATATATCTGGGAGGTTAAACAGGAAGTTCTAATCAATAATTGAAATGAAAATGAGTCGAGGCCCCGGTTCCTTACAGGCAGAGTTCATCCAGAAATTCTTTCAAAACCTGTATTAAAAAGTATAAACCTGTATAAATCCACTGTGGAACACACAAAAAGAGATGTTTAGTAGAATGTCAAGGCTGCGCTTTTCCATAAAATGAGTAAATATTTATTTTTGTGCATGTGTCATGATTTCAAGGTTTTAACTAATAGCTTAGAATGCTTTCCTTTGAAACAAATCAGACATTTTAAACAGAGTTTCGAAAAGACACATTAAAATTCACACAAAAAGATGGTTATGTAACAGGACTCCAAGACTTTCAACATCATCAAAACACATCCACTGGGAATTAGGCAAGCCGTACTGTACATCTGCTCAGGTTACTGCCAAGAATGATGCCAGTCTATGTGACGCACACCCACACACCCACTGTCACTTTCGGACGCTGGTTGTGAATCCGCTGCCTGTTTAATTACAGAGTGGTGGCAGACGTGCCATGGATCAGAATGTCTGTGTGGGATGTGTTCAAAGAAACATGGCTTACAGTAACGTTTAGAATTCTGAGGCTCCTACAACAGATCTTCTACAACAGACCAATCTGATTTGCATGTCATCATGCGTTAACTGGCAATCAAGAAACTGAGCAAGGCAAGCAAAACACAGGCAAGCGGCCCATTGCAAACTGCAGACCAAAAAGGCTAACAGTAAGTGCATATGAAATACATTCAGCCAAAAATTTACACCACGTATTTCCAAATTTACAGACGCAGGGAGACACTATTCATACTCTCAGTCCCTAATAAATCAAAGGTTGCACGCAACATGAACTAACAATAAACTATAATTTTACAGCATTTATTAATCTCAGTTAGTGTTAATTTCTACATATCCACATGTAATATGAATGAAAATGAAACATGATAATATACGTCACAAATGTTAACATTAAAATAACTGCAACCAAAGCTAAAATTAATAAATGGTGTCATTGTGCCTAATTTTAATACTAAAATATTAAAATTGTGTTACTTTAGATATAAAAATAACAGCTAAATTAAAATAAATAATAATAATCATAATAAAATTAAAATAAATACAAAATTGTTACTTCTGACATTAAAATAACTGAAAAAACTAAACAAATGAAGGTTCCACTAAATGTGTCATTCTGCCTAATCTTTAATAATATAAAAAAAAATTTTTTTAAACATTTTTTTAACAGTAAAACAACCGCAACTGAAGCTTAATTGAAATTCAAATTTTTTTGCTTGAAATTAAAGTTCAGCTTAATGTCCCATTGTGCCTCATTTTTAATAGTAAAATATCACAAATTTGTTACATTTTTAACATTAAAATTCTTAATATTAAAAAAATTCTGTTAAAAAAAAAACTTTGAATGAAACCAAAGCTTAAGATAAGAAACGAAAGTTCAGCTAAATGTCTCATTGTGTATATTTTAAAAATATAATAAAATATTTAGAAATTAGAATGTATATAAACCTGTCCATCAGTAATGATTTTTAATGGCTTTGCTATGCAAGCATAATATAGCATTACAAAATATTTTGTTATATTAAAATGTAATATTTTAATTTAATACAGTATGTTAAAGATGTCCGTCCCTCGATCCACAAAAGGGCTGAAAAAGGTGGAAGACCCCTGATTTATTCATCTATTCATCTGTCAATTTAGACCACATAATGATTTAAAAAATATTATGGATTTTATTTTAGACATATTTGTATCCGATAGTTCACTCAGTACATGTGGATGGTCATTACGGCAAAGAAAATGACACCTGTAACGCTGTCTATCCATCGTGAAGGTTTTCAACTCCAAAGCCATTTTACCACTGTACAGTAAACACAGTTAAAAATAGATATATCATACATCAAAGCAGATCCCAACGGAGCAGGGGAGCAAACTAAAGCTCCATTTGGAATATCAAGGGAACACACCCCTGAATCCTGGCTGCATTTAAAACACGGCGGATTCACCACACTGATGCAAGTCATTTCTAGAGCATCTCTGTGAACAAACTGCACATTTTACAAAATAACTAGAGAAGCAAACCAACAAAAGAGTAAGTTATTAAGCTAAAGAAAAAAAAGAACCATTGCACAGAGCAGACACTCCTTTTGCCTTGCATTTCATACTGTAACCATACAGTTCCGCTTCAGTTGCATGAATATAAAAAAACAATAATAATATTAAACTCCAATGGGGACGAATATATAATCAATTATTGATCATTGATCAGATTGAAAAGCATACACGCGCTTGTAAACCATGCATTTTAATCAAAAGCAGTATCAGGTGACTGGTTAAAAACAATGCATTTGTAATACAATGACATATTTAACCCTTATTTTCATTAAATATATACAATTCTTATATATAATGCATAACCAACAGCTGGTATGCATCCATGCATGAAATAATACACTTACCTCCAACACACAGCAGTGACATCTCTTTATCAATTATTATCCTCGCCCTTTTGCCTTATTTTAGATAATAAAACTGTTATTAAAACGATTTACGGATTTTTTTTTTACGTTGAGAAACTCCCCTTCCCGTTATCAAACTCTACCCTAAAATATACAAAAACAACAGCAGCTGCTATTCCGAATCGCCCAGATTACTTGACTCGGGGGTGTTTTTAGCCACCTTCTCGACGTGAACCGCTGTTAGTTGGGCTGTGTGTGATTATTAGCGCTGTTTTTTCAGCCGCTCGTAACGCGACGCACAGCCATCTTGTTCAGCACCGCCGCCGCGAGGAGAGCTACTACCGTGACGTCACGGCCCAAAGCGGCGCACGCGGACGCCTCTCCACTCCTTTCTAGCTATTTAGCCCAGCAGAACCTAACCAAAGCGTGGCGCAATTATTAAGAACTGTGAATTCATGACGGCCGGCAATTAAAAATATAGTTTTAATTGGAAATGAGGTAGAAACTAAAATGTGGGGACTGAAAGACTCCAATATCCTTTTTTAATCTGTCGAAAAACCTACTTAAAGGGATAGTTCACCCTAAAATGGTAATTCCCAAATTGTCACAATTCACTCACTGACATGATGTTCCTAACTCGTATGATTTACTTTCTTCTGTGAAACACAAATGAAGAGTGAATGATGGCCTCAGACTCCATTAACTTGTCAAAAAAAATGATATGAAAGTGAATGGTGACTGAGGGTGGTTTGTTCCTAACATTATGTAACATCTCCTTTTATGTCAATTCCTAATTTAATGAGAATATTGAATAAAATAACGCTACAGAGAAATTTGTACTGCAATTATCTTTCAAAAACAATGGTTGATATTATAAAATTGGATATAAAATATTAAGAGTTAATTAATTTTTAAAATGCATTGTATGACTTATTAATAATTTTATATGACTCACATTCGTTTTGGCTGCATTCTGTAAAAGAAGATGAATAAAGTCATATTCAATTCTTAGGTCTGGAGGAAAATTTTTGTTAATTTGATATATAAAAAAAATGTAATTCCAAAGGATATTTCTTTTGATCAAGTGAACACTCCCTTTTTTTCTTTAGATTATAGGATTTTTCTTTATGCTGTGGCCAATGTCACCCTCTACTGGATAAACATACAACTCAAGGCTGAATAATGTAATGGAATCTTTTTTTTTTAAGTTAAATAATTCTTGCCAGACTTTATTATCTTTTTTTTCATATTAAAATAATTGATACAATCCAAAAAAATAAAAAATCCATTCAAGTACATCACCAAAGCAGTGTAAACTCTTGACACCTGAAATATTTTAATGCTAGAATTCATCACCCTTTGCAATGCCAACTGACTTATGGTTCGTTCAAAAGGGAATGCAACCGAAAACAAACATTATTTAGGAATTTTAATTCAGAAAACATAATGATTAGGAATGTTACTCAATGTTTAGAGTAAAATTCATGGTGCAATTCTCAGGTTCATGCAATCCACAGCACTGTGCAGCAAGGGTTTAGGTCACCCGATGTAAAACACTGCACTTTACATTTCATTACAACTTAGTAAAGACAATATTACTTTGTAAAAATCGTAGCATGCCTTTAAACCATGCATTCCGTGATTCTAAATGGACTTAAGTCTTTAAATGAGCTGCTGTAATTGTCAAAACAGCAATAATATGATGGATTACATTACATGTCTATGAGTTTAGAATCCGCCGGCACCAGTGTTACAAATTAGCTTATTGGCGAGTAAAAATATCCAATTAAACTGTATGGCCCAGTATACCCTGGAAGGCAGAGAAATCATAGGTAGAGCATGGTGATCCCAGGTCTTCCCAATTCTTGGGACATCTACATCCACCACAGCTGTAGACATGTTTTCAAAGCTTCTCACTGGAGGAAAATAAAGAAGAACCAGATAACAATGTAATAATTCAATTCAATACACTTTATTGTCCCCAATGGGGAAATTTGTCTTGGACCCTGGAGCCTGCATACACATACACTGATCAACTAATACAGGTGCATCTCAATTTTTTTTATTGGTCTTATGGAGTATTCTAATTTGTTGAGATAGTGAGTTGGTGGGTTTTTGTTAAATGTGAGCCAAAATCATCACAATTAAAAGAACCAAAGACTTAAACTACTTCAGTCTGTGTGCATTGAATTTATTTAATACACGAATTTCACAATTTGAGTTGAATTACTGAAATAAATGAACTTTTCCACGACATTCTAATTTATTGAGATGCACCTGTATATCTCCAGCAGCATATGTATGATCTTATGCAGTGGTGGACAGTAACAAAGTACATTTACATTGTTACTGTACTTGATTATTTTTAATTAGAGAAATTTTTACTTCTAATTCCAAAGCAAAATATTGTGTTTTTTATTCCATGGTAAAAAAATAAATTATATACATACATATATATATATATGTGTGTGTGTGTGTGTGTGATGCGATCTGGGAAAACCCGTTGGATGTTGCGCTTGGACGTTTTCAGTAAAATTCGAAAAATAAGTCGAATGTCAATTTTTTGTCAAAATTAGGTTTTCATTAAATTATTATTCTATAACATCTTGTCTATCATCTCTGAAAATATCTTGGCAAAATGTACTTGTTTAGTGCAGAAAAATTGCGATTTATTGCAGCAAGCAGAAAATACTTTCTCTTATGTTAAGAACGCGCTGCGGAGGTGCTTTCTCTTAACACCACAAAAAAAGTTAACCTATCAAAATAAACAACGTAACATATATAATAAAGGTGTATCGATGCACATTTCCCGCCAGTCCTGTGTAAACTACGACACGCAAAGTATTTTTATTTATTAATTTTTTTAATATCGTGAGATGGCGGAGCGGAAGAGAACAACAGTCTGAAATAACGTTAGCTGCGCACGATCTTGCGTCTGCTCAATCTTGGTGATGTCAGTGCCCTAAACTAAGTTATAATGGACTATTTCACATCCAGAGATGAAGGATCGGATGATGAAGTTACTTAAGAGGAAGAGTCCGATGACAGTCTGTTATATGCACAGGTGCGCGAACAGTTGCGCTGCGTTTCTAAACGTAAACTACAAGGTACACTATTCGTGCTATCTAAACATACAAGGGGTGATCAAAAGTTCAGAGACTATGCCCATCATGATAGACAACGTAAAACTGTCCTCTTCAGTGTAACGTTAGTCTGTTTGTGTAATGATGCAGTATAGTGCTCCTGACAGACAGCGATCGTTAAGTAGAAGTTTAAGTGAAACCCGTCTCACTTTAAACCCGTTTTTCTCAAAATTCCATTCTGGAAAATCATAGCTATCAGCCAACTTCAGATAGCCATCACTTTTGTTTCGTTCAAGCTATGGACAAAATAAAAACAGTTTTGGAAAGGGCTTGAACCCAGCTTTCACTTGGTATCAAAACCTAAAAAAGGTAAAATTTCACCATGTGTTGGGTTTTCCTAGATCGCATCACATATATACTATATATATAATTTATTGTTCCTTGTTATTTCGATCTGAAGAAATTGATATATGTATCGCAAACCTGTTGAATGAATCGTTACCTGTCTAGGTGAGCTAAGAGCTCTTGTAGCTTGAGGACTAAGGCGCGATGGTCATGAGGCCTGCTCTCTAAAGCACTACTCAAGCGACTCAGGTATGAGTCCAGCGTTCCAATTGATGGCGTCTCGCCTGTGCCTGAACAAAAAAACCAAAGCGGTTTCCCCCTGCGATCAAAAAAATCATCTATCATGGTACTGGTAATATGGGCACAGTACAGTACTGACCTGGCAAAGGCACAGTGGCCAGGCTGTTGACCAGTGTCTGTTTGATCACCTGTAGGTGGCGCTGTAGAGCTTGCGTGCGAAGCTCATCCTGGCCCAGCTCAGTCTCCAGTCGCTCTTTAGCGCTGAACATGTCAGCAATGTGCTTCTGGAGAACCGCATTCTGCTCTTCGAACTCCACATTAGCCTTCCGCAGTCGCCTCAGCTCAGCTTCTCGCACTGGGAAATGCGCAATTTTAAGAATATAGCTTTCCACGTTGATGTTTATGGTGTGTTCTGAGAAAAAACAAAAACAAACAAACAAACAAAACTTACCTTTGTTTTGGTCTAAAAATTCTTCTGTGAAAATAGGGACGTCAAATCTGGCCGTTAAGTCTGAGTTCTGAAAGAAAATTTCTTCATGAGGCAGGTTGCAAGAACAATTTCCACGCTTACAAGTTTCTACTTCAGGAATGGGGTGGGACTGTTTAGGAATTCAGGCTTTGTTCGTATGCTTACCTTAAAACCTGCAGATCCTGAACTGTTGGCATTGATAATGACAGAAGTCAACTCCTCTGTAAAACAAAACAAACAAACAAATGATTTGCTCTAAGCTAACACTTGCACCATTTCTAATTTTTAAACAAAAAACAAGAGCATTTTTACCTCTCTTAATTCTCTTATCCTGAACTTTTGCACATGTGATCTGATAAGCTTCACTTTTTTGATACTCCCTGAGTTCTCGTGCATACTGCATTTTGTCCCTTTCGGCTTCGTCTAGGTACCGCTGTTAAAAAAAAATATATATAAAATTTCATCAGAATGATGGTGTTCCAAGGAATAGTTCACCCAAAAATGAAAGTTTGCTGGCAGTTTACTCCCTCAAGATGTAGGCGAGTTTGTTTCTTCATCAAAATTGATTTTGAGAAATGTATCATTACATTACTTCCTCACCAATGGATCCACTGCAGTGAATGGGTGCCGTCAGAATGAAAGTCCAAACAGCCGATAAAAACATTACAATAATTCACAAGTAATCCACAGTACATCAATTAATGTCTTGTGATTTGAACATCTGCATGTTTGTAAGAACAACAAATCTATCATTAAGGTTCTTTCATTTCAAACTGGCCAAAATACGAGCCTATATAATCCATAATAACGCTTCCACCAGTGAAGAAGTCCATCCTCTGTTGTTCTCTCACATCAAAAATCCACCAACATATTTCTTTAGAACTGTTTTTGCTTATAAATGGTGCTTGATCTGTGCATATTTCCCTCCTGATTCAGACGGCACAACTTTTTCACTGTAGAAAGCAATGTTATGGACAGAAGACTCATATTTCACAAGATGTTAATAGTTGGACTGGCATTGTGTGGATTACTTGTGAATTATTGCAATGTTTTTATCAGCTGTTTGGACTCTCATTCTGACGGCACCCATTCACTGTAGAGGATCCATTGGTGAGCATGTCATTTCTCCAAATCTGTTCTGATGAAGAAGATTCAAGATTCTTTATTTGTCACATACATGGTTATATAGAGAATATA